TTAGGAACAAAACTACCAAATTTTACAAAATTCTGAGAACCACTATATCGTTTTGCTGTATACAGACAAAAAAAAGTGAAAACCCTTTTAAAACAGATAGCAGTAAATTAAAACTTATTTAACCCCAATTAACCTTAAAATTTAAAAAAAATCTTATTATTGCAGGCAACCTTTGGGTTCATTCAAACAATCGCATCGTTCAACATTTTTATGAATTGAAATAAATTTAGCGATGGTTCACTTTTACCCCTTACTCCCCTATAAAGTGTACCCCGTATTCCCCTAATATCTCATGAACTGTAGTTTAAAGACATAGTATTCTAAAACCATGCATAAAGTGCTTATGTTTTACGAAAAATAGAGCTGTGAAAAAAACATTTATTCCTAAAAGTAACGGGAAAATGGGGTAAAATGGTCCAAAACACATACCTACAAGGCTCTCCAGTCTATGGGACCACGTGCAATCGATTCCCCGGACGATTACCCTTCGGAAAAGTTGTTTTTCATGGCCGGAATTCAGCGTGCTGTTGAGATATTGAATTTTGGGTAATTTTTTACCCATTTTTGCCCATAGTGCAACGGTGCGAATTAGCAAAATTTTACTCAAGTGCTTTTTTATTGTAAATTTGGTGTACTTTCATTATATAAAGTAGACACAGTAATTGGACCAAGTTTTGGATATTTTTCCAAAAACTTTTGTTTTAAAAAAAAATCTGAACTTTTTTGTCCATCATTTCTCCATCTTGACCTGTAGTGCAATAGGTGGCATTTTTTGTCCCCTAAAACATATCATCGAATAAAAAATACAAAAAATCCTTTTTAGAGAAAAAAAATGTTTTTAAGACTTTATTTGAAATTTAAAAAAAAAGTTTGGTAATCTTTTTCAAATAGTCTCATCTATTACCTGCAATATTGCCCAAGACACCAAACCGATCTGACAAACAGTCATGGCCGAGTAATAATTTTCTGAAGAAAAGCATGATATTTTTCTATTTTCAAAAATAAGGCTGGATTAAAAATGGCGATATGAAGATGCACCTCCCTTAGTTCAGTCCCCTCAGACCTCCCTTAGCTCAGTCGGTAAAGGCGCAGCTACAAAGCAAGACCATGCTGGAGGTGGCTGGGTTCAATTCCCGGTCCGGTCTAGGAATTTTTCGGGTTGGAAAATTTCTCGACTTCCCTGGGCATAGAAGTATGATTGGACTTGCCGCACAATTATACCAATGCAAAAATGGTACAGGCATCGAAAGCTCTCAATTAATAACTGTGGAAGTGCATCTAGAACACTAAGTTGAGAGCACGCATTAAGCTAATTTGCGATATGCAATAAGCTTGAAATGTGAGGAAGAAGAAGAAGAAGAAGAAGATGAAGATGAAAAATGGCATTGTCGGGCATAAGGAACGTTTCCGCAAATTTTCACCAAATTCAAAATCACAAAAATAAACCGATTTGCGAATTTGTAGGGAATTGCTCCATTGCGAAAATTTATGCAAAGTTTCATGGAAATACGGAGAGGGTGAATTCTGACTTATTCGTGTAGCATATTTTTCTAGGCACCCGCAAACCACGTTTTTGGCATGCCTTATAACCAGTAAATCAATATAGTGACTTCAACGCTCCACACTGGTCATAAGCGACGAATCCTTTGAATAATATTTACAGCATCTCCTTGCCAAAAAAAAAAACCCCATCGGCTTCAACCCAGGCTGTTTTATTCTCACACCGCATCGAGCTAGGCTTGTTTTCCTCGCTCGTCCCTTCCTTCTGTCCCCGAGCACAGCACTCCATGATTCCTCCGTCCGTCTCTCGAGCTTGAAGCTTCCGAAGCTACATCTGCTGTGTGAACCAGGGTTGCCAAAGGGTCTTTAAAAAAAATGCGCCAAAAACAACAACTTGAAGAAAATTAGATGCTCATGAAAATTTGATTTGCTTGCAAACATACAAATTTGTGTACTTTTCAATTTTTTTACGGAACCGAATGTCTTTAAATCAATACTGACCTAAGAAGCTGTTGTATTATCCAAAATTTGCATTTCAGCCATTCCATAGCAAAACGGTACAGTTGTTCTCAGAAATTCGTTGTTTTGTTCCTTATCGCAAAATGTTAGATCCGTATTTTTTTTCATTTTTTTTTTTATTAGGGTGATTATTTCCATGTTAGGGTTGTCCAAAAATCGATTTTTTTTTCAAAAATAACTTTTATTTTCAAAAAATCATAACTTTTGAACCACTGAGCCGATTTCAAAGATCAAAATATCAAATGAAAAGTTATTAAAATACTTCTTAGAAAAAATATAATATACTTGAAAATTGGGATCTTGTATTTTAAAACATTGATGGTATTTGTTTTTTTATGGTTTTTTATGGTTTTGTAGACACAGGGTACATTATGTCAAGTTACGGGTTTTCGCTCAATACTCCTATGTGACTAGACTACCATGCGCCGTGACCATGTTATAGTCGCTCAAAATCAAGTATGTCATCATATTTTTCCTAAAAAGTATTTTTAATAACCTTTCATTGTATATTTTGATCTTTGAAATCGGTCCAGTGCACAGTGGTCGAAAAGTCCATTTTGACGCTCTTAATTAATAGCACCAAGGAGAGTGGATTTAGAGTAATGACGTCTTAAGCAAAGTTGATGAATATGACACGCTACATCTTTTGAAGGCATGGGTTTTGTGATTAATCCCCCTAAAAGTGAAATGGAAAATTTATGTTTTCACAATATCGAGATAAATGGTTGATGTCTTCAGCAAAGTTGTAGAAAAAATGGTTACAAACAACTTGCTGAAGACTTAAACGTCGTAAATTCTACCCAAATCGAGATAGAGAGCGTTGTTCGAGGACGGACCCCCCAAAAACACGTTTTCCATAAAAACATATATTTTCTTTAATTTTAGGTCTTCACTATGTTCAACAAAGTTTATTGGTATACTGAAATACACATCTTTCTAGAACATACTATACCTGCATCATTTTAATAGGATGAGTTATTGATAAATTTTCTCCTATTTTCCACATATTTTGGACTTGCGTATCTTTCTTAGGTGCAAGAAGGTGCAGATGAAGTCAAATGCATCTAAAACTACATTAAAAGAGTTTCAAATGGTGGTAAGCTTGTCCGTCCACGACCGTCTGCTGGAGAGTTGTGATCAAAACAAGTATCCATATTTTTACTCTGTTTTATGATAAAACCAGTATAAAAAAGATAATCAACCTCAATATATCCACATATTTTTCCCAATTAAAAACTTTTTGTTTGATTGGTTTTGCATTTTTGTTGTCAATATTTTGTATTGTATTCAATTATCATCATTATTATCATAATCATAAGCATCAATATAATCATTATCGTTTCCTTTAGCTTCTTCTGCTAGCAGCTGTTTAGCATCACTCGACAATGGCTTCTCGTGATTTTTAGGCTATCCACGAATGTTAGTAATCAATGCACTGATGAGCCAGTTCAATAGATCACGATTTGTAAGCGATCTTGATTTTTTCTACAACTCTGTTGAAGACATTAACCATTTATCTTGACATTGTGAAAAAATAAATTTTCCATTTCACTTTTAGGGGGATTAATCACAAAACCCATGCCTTCAAAAGATGTAGCATGTCATACTCATCAACTTTGCTTAAGACGTCATTACTCTAAATCCACTCTCCATGGTGCTATTAATTAAGAGCGCCAAAATGGACTTTTCAACCACTGTGCAGTGGTTCAAAAGTTATGATTTTTTGAAAAAGTCGTTTATGAAAAAAATCGATATTTTGGACCACCTTAACATATAAATGGTCACCCTAATGACAAAATAAAAAAATAAAATTTTGCGATAAGAAACAAAACTGCCACTTTTTACGAAATTCTGAGAACCATTATATCGTTTTGCTATGGAATCACTGATTTTTCATGAGCTTTTTTTAAATAAATTATAAATAGTTAACAAAGACATTTTAATGTATATAAGCTTTTATTTATTTATTTTTAATTTTACTCAACATTAATAAAAAACATTCACCGTCTTTATTCTCCTAGAAATACTTTGTTTTAGTCTACAACAATGTTTCAGATGTAATTTTAATCAGACGTTTTCGTGCTAAAATTTATTGATAAATGTCAAAGGCTCTATTTAATAAAACAAAAACCAAATTTAAGATCCAAAACGGCAAAATGTCAGCAAAAATGTGCCAATAACAAACAATTATGCAAAGTTTCATGCAAATCGAAGAAGGTCGAGTATTAACGATTCGTCATTAGGCGTGGAACTGCTCAATACCGGACCTGTTGCACGCCTGTCCCTTTGCCGTGAAGCGAGCTTGTTCGCAGCATCGCCACGCATTTTGCATGCATGGTATGACTGTTAATTAGTATTGCATTTCCAGATCTCAATTGCAACAGCATCTTAATTCTTACTTCAAAGTATTTTTCCATTTAAAAACTGAAAAATCTGGAAGAATCCACTGCAAACTGAAATGTTGGCACCACTGGTGTGAACCGCGCAAAGCCCGCTGCTGCTGCTGCTGCTGCTCACCTTCTCACTCTCAGTCTCAGTCGCTCGCTCTCGGATTAACCCCCATCAAGCAAGTTGTGAGTAGTGAGCAGTAGGGTGGGGGGAGGGGCTGCACTGCCGTGGAAGCGCGTGGATTCAACCCACGACGACGACGACGACGGCGCTTTGTTGCTCTCCAGTTTGCACCGGTCGATTCAGTCTCTCTATCGATACTAACAAATCCAGACGTCGTTGGGGTCGTTTGCTCGGAATCGCTTCAGTTGATCTTGATTTGATTGGTTGAAATTTAAACGCGAAAGTGAAGTACCCGAAGCCGTTGTTTTGATTTTCATCTTTGGCGCGTTGGTGTTTTGTGATTTAGGCAGTTCGTTTCATTTTTACTCGGGCTCTCGGGGTCGTGACACTCATGTAAAGTTCAACTGTTGATTGCTTGTTTGAAGTTCAAGTTGTACTAATTGTGCTTTGTTTTCGATTTTATTTTTCAGATGGTTCCACGGTAACCTGTCCGGCAAGGAAGCGGAACGATTGATCCTGGAACGGGGCAAGAATGGCTCGTTCCTAGTGCGTGAATCTCAGAGTAAACCGGGCGATTTTGTGTTATCCGTGCGGACAGAGGACAAAGTGACCCACGTCATGATTCGGTGGCATGTGAGTATCTGCTGGAGTGCGTTTCGTTAAAAGAGTTGTTACCGTCGTCGTCGGTCCCTAAATGGAATGCGGCGGCAGGCGTCTTCCGTCTGGTCTGTCTGTCTGTCTGCCAGCCTGCCTGGTCTGATGGCAGCGATGATGGTGATGGTGAAGAGAACGATCGGGAACAAGAAGACTATAGGGGGGGCTTAAGGCAATGGACACGCGTGAGATCCGTTGGCAGTGATATTGTCGCTCCTCTTAGTGGGTGCTATTTATAGCGGGCAAGAAGCACGACCAGATGAGAGACCTTGAAAAGGTTCTGCTCTGCATAAATGCCAGTATGGCGAGAGCTATGTGTTTGGAATTTACATTGGAACGATTATGCCAAGGGGAAGGAACTAAGATGATGAAGGAGAAGAAGACAAACGGATGAAGATAGTGCGCAGAATTTTTAATGATTGTTTGATCGAGGCCGGCTAGTGGGGTCCACTTTTGCTAGTGTTCATAATTTAGCTGGAGCAAGTTTGGCATTCCTGAGGCGCGTGAAGTTGATAGATTCCTGAGCGGATTAGAAGCGAAAGGCCGATGGGAGTGTGAGAAAAATGTTCAAGTTTTTCGATAATGTGTGTTGTGATTTTAAAGTTCTGAATTATTCTGCCGACGTTTTCCAACTAGAGCCAAGTGAAGGATTCTTGAAGGCAAGAAAGTGGACAAACAGAAATTTGTGAAGCATTCCAAAACCCATTTCTTTTAGTCTTTGGAATGAAAAAGTTTGTTTCAGGTTTGAGAATGTAAAAAATGCCGATGTTTGGTCCTTAAGAGATCGTCTCCAGGGACTTAAGAAGAGTATTGATTGACTTTATTAGAAATTCAAACTTGGATAATAACCAGGCACTGAATTCCAACGGATAGCTGAATCCAAACCGTGTGCCGTTTGTTAGATCAGCGTGGGAGGAAACTAAGTTTACAATTGGAAAGTTCTTAGAACAAAAACTCTGACCTACACTAAACGACATAGGAGTAATTTTAGTTAGGAAGAATAACTCATTAGTTTCAAATATAAATTTCTATAAAAGTCAATAAATTATTCTGGAAATTCGGAAAATCGAACGGATCGAAAGGTCACACAATAATTAATTAGTCTCAGTATGTGGATTTTATGCGAGACTAAAAAGTTAAAAAGGGTTCTGTTTCTCAAGTTTGAATAAATCCCGGGATTCGGGATTTAATTTCTCGAAATTTGGCCATTTAGGATCTTGTTTTTTTTTTTTTTAAATTGAGTCTTTTTGTTATCTAGTTCGTTTATTTGGTAGGCTCAATCGCGTTAGCTTCACGGAGCCGGTAATTTCTATTGATATGCCAACTTAGGTGATTTAGGTCGCTTCTGGAGATTCTAGGCTATTTTGGCTCTTCTGAGGCCAATTACTGACTCCCGTTTTGGCGATTCTAGGTAATTTTTGATCTTTCAGGATGTATTAACAGGCCATAATGGCGTTTTAAAATTTATTTAGAGATTTTCAAGCCGTATTGGCGTTTCAAGTCCATTTTGGCGTTTTGAAATTGGCGTTCTAGAATAGCTTAAATATGTTAATCCGTTGTATTTTCTAGCATTTCGTTAGTTTACTTCGGATTTGTTGACAGGTTCGTGTTTTTAATTGATATGATCGCTCTATCTTCGGCATTTTAGCGTCATTTTGATAGTTTTTAAATCTTGTTCTATTTGTTTGGTTGTACTGGTTATTTTCAGCAATTTTTACTTTCTAGCAAAGGGTGTTCATGTTGTTTACAATGGTCTGGGCATTTTAAAGGCTTTTTTGGCTGACCATTTTAGCGTTCTCAAGATCATTTTTACTCAAAAAAACACGTATCTTTCATGTTGATGGGTCGCGATTTTCTTGCACGGTTTAAAAATGGCTCGCATCCGAAACAAGTTTGGGAACCACTGGTCTATGTATCATTATAATTTATTTTTCTTGAATCATTTGGACTATTTTAGCTATGTTTTAGCAGTTAAAATTTATCCAAATTGAGGGATTCTAAGCCAAAAGCGATTTCTCGTTGATTTTATATTTAACTCGTTCAGTCTTTCTTTTCCCAGTTTGCACTTGGTGAGAACGTTTTTCATATTCTTTCAGTTTCTCACCTGATTCGCTCTACTGCTGGCAATTCTGAGTATATGTGCAGTCATCTTCTTGGTAGAATAAACTTTTGTTCAACATCTTCAAGCTTCCATGGTTATTTTTGAGTGAATGAATTTACCACTAATTGTTTGATTCAAAATCGGTTAAACTGCTCTTTCTTCCAAAACGTTGATGTTTTGCAATCGTTTTCACACATTCTATAGAAACAGTTAAAAAATAATACTTAAGGTAAGAGTGAATGTTGTAATACTTTCTGATTCTACTTGCCCGTAGTGGTCCATTAATGCCCTAATTGTGACTCCAATTTATGTGTATTTAAGGCCTAAAAATTGGCGTCACTTCGAGTTATTTTAGAACTTTTAATAATCTATACATAAACCTGTATAAGCACATTCAAACAGGTTCATCAAAATTTAAGAAGGCTTGGTTTGACAAACTTAACTCTCAGGGTACCAAGGGTTGGAAACTGCGTGTCGATGCTTTGACACAACACGACTGACCTGTTGCTGAGAAGCGAGCTTGCTCACAACATCGATACGCGGTTTGCAGCCTTGGTACTCCAAGAGTTAATAGACCAGTTGTTATCAGATTTGTTCGTCTACAATGTGCAGACTTCTTCAGTGTCTTGTACTAATACTCGTGTACGGGATCTTGTAAAATATTCATTGCCAGAATTAACTAAATTATGTCTTAGGAACTTATCTCAGGATACCTTTGGAAATTTCTTAAAATTTTCCATAGGATAATTTTCAAAATGTGTTCAAAGATTTTGTGTGTGCCACTTTGATACATGAAGGGTCAAGGTTCTTGACTTGTCCGGGGATAAGATTTGAATCGTGACCATTAGCATGAGTGTTCTTTTCAGGATTCACCTTAATAATGTTATGATTCCCTCCGGTATTTCCTAGAAAGTTTCTTCATATCAGATTAGAAATTCTTTGCATTCTGTGCAGAACCGGGTTCGATTCCCGGTCCGGTCGAGGGAATCTTTCGGGTTGGAAATTTTCTCGACTTCCCTGGGCATAGAGTATCATTGTGCTTGCCACACAATATACAAATTCATGCATTGGTATTGGCATCGAAAGCTCTCAATAATAACTGTGGAAGTGCATTTAGAACACTAAGTTGAAGAGCACGCAATAAGCTAATATGCGCTAAGCAATAAGCTTGAAATGCGAATAAGAAGAAGAAGAAGCAGAACACTTTAGGAATTTATTCCAGAATACTCTGGAAATTCACTCTACATTTATCTTCGTATTCCCTACAATTCTCGCGATAATTTGCTTTAATTCCTCTCCTTAATTTTTAAAAACTCCCTTAGCATATTCCATAGAAATCTGTTTCACTTAAAAATTGTATGGCAAATTTCCTGAGAATACCGGTTTTGGAAATAATGTTCAAAAGTTCGTCTGGGACCCTGCCAAAAATTTAATGAAACTATCTTCAAACTAGCTTGAAATTCGGTAAATATTTAAAAAAAATATATTACATGCTTTTGGATTTATTTTCGATATTCAATTGGAGCTGTCTTCAGAATTATCTTATTGATTGAGTGATTGCATAACGTTTAAGGCCGTATGTGGTCATTATGCATAGTTTCTTGCAATTCACCATTAGCTCTCCTGACAATTCTCAAAATTACCTGGATCTTCTAGTCAAATATCTTTAGAACTGTGCTCAGAATTCATACATAGAATGAATTGTAGATGACCACCATTCTCATCAAAAATCATTTGAAATTCTTATCCAAATTCTCCAGAGAATTCATAAATGTGCATCTTGTTATCTTAGTTCAAGATCTAGATTTTTTGTTAATCTGAGATCTTGAAAATAGTGCTGTATTTAAAATTTAACTTTCTTTAAGTCTGAATCGCGAAAAGTTCACAAGAATGTAAAAAACTAGTTTAGCCTAGCATTCGATAAATAATCGTCTACCAATCTATCGCTTTATAACATTTGGAAATGACCCACTGGCCCAGGGACGTTCGGCCTAATGTGTTTGGAGAAATTTACATGTCAAAAGGCTTACAAAAAGTATCTAAATTATGAAACATAATTTGACATTACGTTGCGATCTTGGAGAATTTCAAATTTTCAAAAATCTGCTGTTTTGTGGTGTGTGGTAATTTTTTGGTTCTGCGCCTTAAAAATAATATCTGTTTTTTTCAGCGGCACCTATTGTTGAAATCAGCCATGCCGGTATTTTCTTTATATGGGCATCCGTTTTTTATTCTTAAATTTAGTGGCCTGATTAAAATTTCTTTGCCTGTAATCTTGAAATAGTCATATACGCATCACACATTTTCTTTCGGTAAACATTCTGATCCCAATGGCCTGGCTTCTTTACTTCGTGATCTTGAAAATGGTCCAAGCCCTAGGTGTCGCAAAATGGTCTAGGCATTTTTCAAAGACAATAATTTAGAAATATTTGAAGCTCGCTAGCTTTAGTAATTGTCCAAACATAAGAAAACTGAAAATCATGTCGTGGAATCTTGAATTATTTTCTCAGTCCAATAAATTGTATTTTTCTGGACTTGCAATCTGGAATCGAAAAATCCAGACCATCCAGGACCAAGATTATAAACTGTTTTCTACGTTTCGGATACATTTATTTTTTATATATATTCAAAATATCGAAACTTGTTCCACGCCATAAAATTTTCTAATATTTTTTGGTTTTATAGACCTTGAATTTTCCCCAGTATTAAAACAATGTTCCAAAATCTTTGAAATTTATGCCTGAATCTTAAAATTGTTCAAAGCGTTTTTATGTTGCTTCATACGCGAAGTTCGCGACTTTCAGAGTTGATTGGAAATGCTATCTAACATGAACCTCTAGATTAGCTAGAGAATGGTCTTAGAAGAGGGTAGGTAGATAGTTCCGTTAGAGTACGGCAGTATGAAAATTAAATAGAAGTTGAAAATGAGCCAACTTCCATTAATGCGACAGTGCAAGTCAAACGCACACTCTTAGCCTAACCCGTACGAAGTATGTCTTCAAATCTGCAGGCAAAAAGTGTGCGCCGCCTGACTTTGCTCAAATACTGCCTGTGGCTGTGAAACAGTTCTAGCAACGTTTCATCACTACCGTAAAGCCCCACGTTGCCGATGAGTGAGTCGGTCTTGTTTTCTGTGCTGAGCACCAATGATACCGACGCCAGGGAGGCAGCTCTCACACCTGGACCCTACCTATCGACCCACCAACTCATGAACCGGGGATCAACGGCTTTACTTCCCTGCTGAAGGAAGGCGTGATCAGAGATGTTACGCCTCAGAACATCCCGGCGGTGCCGACTGGAATTGAACCCAGGCCTGCTGGGGTGAGAGGTAATCAAGCTTATCACTACATCACCGGCGCCGCTGCCCTTTGGTATACTAAACGTCAGCTCATGATTGTCATGGGTGCATTTGTTGTTTTGACGTAGACTACGTACAGTACGGGAAGGTACTGGGGGTAAATCGAAAATCTAAAATTGCGACCGTCACGAAAAGGTGTAAGGTTTTGAACGCTTATAACTTTGTCATTTATAGATGAAATTAAAATCGAAATACACCAATCGATATGAAATAACTCTCATAATTTGCTATAACAAACCCTTTTTCAATTTTCCATAAAAAAAAACTGTTGAAAAATGTACAAATAAAAAGTGATAATTTTATCACTGTTTTCATGCAATGGACGTTCTTCCCAAACCCAGTCGTCATAATCGAGTACCATTTGGTTGCACATCGTGCTGCTTGAATCTGAAAAGTAATACAACAGCGTTGCTTTTGTGCCTCAATTCAGTTTTGCTTCGGACTGCGGGTAAGCAGGTAGCAGCAGCAGCAGCAGCAGCAGTAGGAAGACAGTGGTTCCTGTTTAAGCGCACAGCGTTTGAGTTTTGCACCTCGAACCTTGCGCATCGTTCCCGTCGAGATCACTGCCTGCTGCTAGCGCCGTCGCCTCGATGGCGCAAGCGCTCCGAAGTGGATAAATCTCCTTGCTTGAATGATGACGATCCCGCGTTCTACAAATCTCGATTACTTTTTCGAAAGGACATATCAACTTTTGTAAACAACGCATTTTATCGTCGGTTTGGCGTAACTGATATCTCGACCACGCATACTAACACCACTATATCAGGTAGGGGAAAATTTTCCCTATCTGATGGTTTGCATGCGTGGGTGAGCTACCAGTTACGCTAAATCGAAAAAGTAATCTAGAAATACTTTTTGGACTGTGTCCCGAGTTAAATTTAACTCGTGGTTAACCGTGACATTTCGAAAATTATTTTCAATGTTCGAAAATCCCGGAAATTGATCGGCTTTCAAACAGAACTCAGCAACGGTTGCCAAGATTTGACTTCTAGTCGGTCAGAAATAACCTCACTCGGAGAGCAGGGTTATTCGATAACTCATCCGTCACATTTAACCACGAGTTAAATTTAACTCGCCCATTGGGACACAGCCTTGGAAGTAAAATTAGGGACCATTCATAAATGACGTACAATTTGTTTGACCAATTAACCCCCCTTCCTCCTCGTAGCGTGTTTTGCTTTACCTAATACATGGCCGATCACAACTTCTGAAACTCCTCTTCCACCTCAATTACTACGTTATTTATGAAAGTTCCCTAAGCATTGGGCAACAGTGAAAATCAACAGCACACACACAAAACGAGTTGGAAATTTATGCGAAATTTCGATTATTGATCGTTAATATCTCGCGATCAGAACGTTTTATCTTGAAATCTCTCCATTCAATTCTCGGTGCATCTTTTATCTATTGATTAATTTAAAAAAAATTCAAAATTTGATTTTTTAAGATTTCGTGCGTTTTGTGAACGCAAATCCATTGTTTTGCATAAGAAAACGGGGTGTTTCTGTGGTGGTGGCTTTAAGATAAGCTATGAAAGTCCATCCTACCTGGAAATTTATGCCATAGAACGGTTTATAAAATCTTAGATTTTTTGCTGATGGGACCGAGGCATAGCAAGCCGTTCGATTCCATAATTCTCCAAGTAGGAGGGACTTACAATGCTTATCTCTTAGTATAAATAGAAGTACCGTCGATTTTTTACTGAAATTCGACAGTGTGCGTTCAAAGGGCCTACTTGCAATGATAGATTCTCTTCATCTCTTAACATTGCTACAGCTAAGCGAAAAAATTCAAGCTGAACATTGCATTTGGTCCTAGGTAAAATCGACAAGATTCTATTCGTTGACTTTCTCCTTGTATACCCTCGGCCATGTTAAGATCTTCCCAGGTATTTTCAACATACAGAGCGATAAAAGAAGCATCTAATACAACAAACATAACAAGAAACCGAAGACAACAAATCAAGAAGACTGGCAACTTTGCCAGAATCCAAGCGACATATACAATGGCGCTGCACTTGAGTGCAGGTGGAAGCAACGCATAGGAAAATGAGCAAATTCACAAACCCTTCTTCTGAGGATCTAATCGTTGCTATCAAATTCGTTCGAAGCATTTACCTTTGAGCGGCAGATGACGCGATTGTACCAATCAATGTTACTTAGGACCTAATGCAATGTTCAGCTTGAATATTATCTGATATATTTTCAATGTAGTGCTGTAACAGGTTGTATTGGCTATCAAAAGCAACAATAAACGCACCTAGAAATGTTAATTTAAGCGAGTTCTTAACAAAAAGAACGTTACGCGGTTACGTCCTTATGTATGCTCACTGTCGAATTTGTCAACTGTGATAGATATGGAAGTCACTTTTTTACCAACACAGAAACGCCCAGTGTTCTTATGCCACATGATGAAAACCCGAACGAAATCTTTAAAAAAAAACTTCAATATTTACTATTTTTTCTCAATCGGTTGATAACAGATGTACCGAGAACTTATTGGAGGGATCAAGATCAATACCACATAAAAACTCCAAGAGCACAAATATCAGCTCTCACAAAACTTATAGCAAAGAAACTGGAACTACACGTTTACTGCAGTGCAGTACACAAGGAGTTTCAATTTCATGAGTGATGTCACAATCGTCCAAGATCTGTGCCCTAGTCATTATTGGACGCTTCAATGAATCATCTGAAGAAAACCTTACTCTGATTGTAATTTAGGAACCAAATGTAATAGAATATGTATTTACATTTTTATGAGGTCCTGAATTTAACCAAGTTTTACTAAGTAGGAAATCCAAAATATGTACATAGGACCGAAATCATAGGTTACTTCTACTGTATTTTAAATCAATATCTTGAAAAATGCACGAGAATTTCACTAAACAGCTTAACGTAGTCTACGTTTTGTAAGTAATTCTTATAATTTCTTTTTTTTTCAATACTTTCGATGTAAAATTCCCCGGTTTAAGTATCAGTTAAGTATCAGTAATTTCAGTAGAATTGCATATTGAATTCCAACGCTGACCAAAACATTTCCTCCGTCACCATTTCGTTCGACCACTCATGCCTTCCGATTTCCAATGGAATTCTACCCACCCAAAATATTTGCGCGATTTCTCACACTGGTAAATGCGTCACAACGTTCAATAGCTGCGTCACAGCTAGCCAAACCAAAGCCAACAAAGCAACGCACATCCACCCCCTACAGTCGACCTCCACATAAGGTGTAACGGAAACTGCGTTGTCGTTGTCGTCGTCGTCGTCAGGCCATTAGTCATTGCCAATTTCGATTAAGACAACTCCGCTGCAGAAGAACAAATCGCAGCGCGCGGTCGGTCACATGTCTCTTAATCACCATCATCGTCGTCACCGTCGTCGCAGCTCATTGTTTCGGGTTAGTCATCCATATTGCACTGCAACCAAGTGGGCACGTTCCATACACTTCTTAAAACGTCCCGTGCATGTTTAAAAGGATTACCACGCACCTAGCATCGAGTGCAAGCAAATTCCGTGACTAATCCTCCCTTAATATTTATCTTCCTTTACAGGAAAACAAGTACGACGTCGGCGGGGGTCAGAAATTCAACACCCTGTGCGACCTGATCGAGCACTACAAGCGCAACCCGATGGTGGAGACGTGCGGGACGGTCGTCCACCTGCGGCAGCCCTTCAACGCGACGCGGATCACCGCCGCCGGCATCGACGCCCGGGTCGAGCAACTGCAGCGGGAAAACGGCAGCCACTGCTACGGCAAGGGTGGTTTTTGGGAGGAATTCGAATCTCTACAGCAGCAGGAGTGCCGGCACACGTTTTCCCGGCGGGAGGGCCAACGGAGCGAGAACCGGGTCAAGAATAGATATAAGAACATTTTACCATGTGAGTATGTTTTTGTTTTACGGGATTGAGGGGGGGGTTAAGTGGTCCGTGGACGTGAAAGGTGATCCACCGTTGACGAATGGAAATGATGCGGGGACAGGGCAATTGCTCTTATTTGCTACACTTCAAGTTGGGTGTGACAGGCAGGCAGGGTGCTCTATTAGCGCAAATGATTGGGTTGTGCAACGTTCATAATTGATGAAGGTTTAATTATCTGCTCTCCGGGATCTCGTGTGCAGTTTGGCAGAGTCCCAGACAATATACACGGCCAGTGGAAATGACTCAAATTTGAGTTAAGTTTTCTCATAAATTGCAAAAAGTGCAGGAACTCAGCGATGCGTAAATTTGCCTCATGTTTTCCAGGTTTGTCCAGGAAAAACTTCCAGAATATGAGAAAAGTAAAGATTGGATTCACTCAGTCTATTGGTACTACTCCTAGACTGATTTTTGAGGTTTTCCACAGGAAACCATAAGGCAAATTTACTCATCGTTGAGTTCCTACACTTTTGGCGATTATGAGTGAACTAAACCCAAATTTGGGTTATTCTCATTCGCTTTTTGGGGTTGTATTGACGAAGGCCTTGATGAGGAAAATGTTGATAGTGCTTGGCCTTCTGTGTACATTGCAACAATTGAGCGGGAATCGTTGATTAGCTTCGCATAGCATTACTTTTCCAGCCTTTACCCCATTCGCATGGACGGAGTTAGTTAGCGAAAATCGTCAGAAACTGCACCATCGAATACATAAATCTGAATTTATGAATTTCCTTAACGAATTCATAACCGCAAAACAGCTCCCTTCAATAGCTCATACTTTCGAGCTCGTGGCTGCCCTGACGACAATAGCGCGGGCAAAAATTCACCTTGCCACTAACGGTTCTCCCGCAACAACAAAAAAATGCGCTCGAACCGTTTTGTGAAGGAAGTTAAAACAAACAAGGAGCTAATGGGCAATAAAATGCGATTATTCGATACTGCTGCGCCGCATTTATGAATAAGATAGATCAACCGCGGCACCTTCCTGCACTCCATCGATACGTACATACATACAACGAAAGCATCATCACCATAGGCAATCCGGTGCAGCTGTAGCGATGCGTTGTTTCACAATCGGAGCTGCCTGCCGCAATATCTATATTTACAAGACGATTTCGAACAATAAAAAAATATGTTCCAATCCTCCACGATTGGCATCTACATAGTTACCTATCATCGCTCGCGGCAAACGCCGACCGAGCCACCGCAGCAGCAGCAGCGGCAGCGATCTAATTGAAAGGTCACATTGACAATAAAGGGTGATACGGTCAAAATTTGGTCAAGGGAAAACGCGTGTAAATCAGTGAAATCGTTTATTTAAAAAATCAAATTAAATTTCTTTTTCAAGTTCAATTAGTATAAAATTCAGGAAAAATATTCAGTTAGGCTTCCGCTTTTCCAAATCCGAATTGCCGGGCCTTACGCTTGACTCCTGCCATCAGATTTTGTACAGCCACCTTGTCCACCTTCTTCGCCGCAGAAAGCCAGTTAGCCTTGAACTGCTGCTCGCCCTTAGCAGTTTTTTTGGTCTTCTTTAGTTTCCGCTTGACAATAGCCCAGTATTTCTCAATTGGGCGGAGCTCTGGCGTGTTGGGAGGGTTCTTGTCCTTGGGAGCCACCTGCACGTTGTTGGCGGCGTACCACTCCATGGCCTTTTTACCGTAATGGCAAGATGCCAAATCCGGCCAAAACAGTACGGAACAACCGTGTTTCTTCAGGAAAGGCAGCAGACGTTTATTCAAACACTCTTTCACGTAAATTTCTTGGTTGACAGTCCCGGAAGCTATGAAAATGCTGCTTTTCAAGCCACAGGTACAGATGGCTTGCCAAACCAGATATTTCTTTGCGAACTTTGACAGTTTCATGTGCTTGAAAACATCTGCTACCTTTCCCCTTCCTTTTGCCGTATAAAACTCCTGTCCCGGAAGCTGCTTGTAGTCGGCTTTGACGTAGGTTTCGTCGTCCATTACCACGCAGTCAAACTTCGTCAGCATCGTCGTGTACAGCCTCCGGGATCGCGCTTTGGCCGTCGTATTTTGTTTATCATCGTGATTTGGAGTCACTACCTTCTTGTAAGTCGATAGTCCGGCTCGTTTTTTTGCTCGATGCACGGTTGTAGACGATACACCCAGCTTATTTTCGGCATCTCGGAGAGAAAGGTTAGGGTTTCGCTTGAAACTACCGGCAACTCTCTTTGTCGTCTCAGCGGCTTCCGGTTTTCGATTTCCCCCCGATCCAGACTTCCTGGCTGTCGACAAACGTTCCCCAAACACTTTAATTACATTTGTAACGGTTGATTTGGCAACTTTTAGCGATTTTGCCAACTTTGCGTGCGAGTAGCTCGGATTTTCGCGATGCGCGAGCAAAATTTTGTTACGCTGCTCTTCTTGCTTGGACGGCATTTTGACAACTGAAGAGTGAATTCCAAAATCAAAATAGGAGCAACATTCTACACACACACACCTTCAAAATGAGGGGTGTTCAGGTTTTTTAAATGCAAAATTGAAAGAAATACGTCAAGTTGATATTGACCAAATTTTGACCGTATCACCCTTTAAATCTATTAATAATATCTGTTTATTGATCTAGAGGCAGCTAGGGCAAGCAAATTTCCCAGCGCTCATTCTTCGTGGCTCGGAGTTTGGCTTTGAATCAAGATACATTATATGATGGGTAAGCTGATTCCTCCGGGCCAAGGTCAAGGGTGTGATTATAAGATTATCAAATCGATGTGTCGAACGATATCCTATACCAGCGGTTCTCAAACTTTAATTGATTGCGAACCACGTTGAGAAATTTCATCCTCTCGGAAGCCACTAAAATTGAAAGTAATGTTAATATGGCTTTGAAGCGCCACATCTGGTTGATTGCGAGAATCTCGAACAAATTGATGTACCCCAGACACCTACACCAAGTACGCCGACTCCGTACAACAGCTTCTTGAAATGGCTAGCTCTCATGATGCGACTATAGTTATGGGTGACTACAACCTGCCGAATCTAGCTTGGGACTTCGATGAGGAGGTCCAAGAATTCCTGACTCACAATGCTTTATCTGAACAGGAACTTGCTGTAGTCGAGCCCTCATTGTCTTCAGGACTTAAGCAAATCAGCGATCTGGTCAACGCGAATGGTAAACTTCTCGTGATTCAGAACAGTCGACAGTCGACTTTTCTACGGCCTCGAAATAACCTGCTTAGCCACCGAGAAGCTCAACCACATCCTCGTTCCGGTATACAATACCTACGTACGCATCGTATCCGGCCTTCTCCCTTCCACGCCTGCATATGCCGTATGTGTGGAAATCGGAATCCTCCCTTTCCGCTATCGATCTGCTGCAGCCATAGCTACGAAAGCCGCTGCCCTCGCGGCTAAGACACCCGGGAACGAAAGGGTCTTTCTCCTCAACGAGGGGAACAGAGCCCTCCGCACTGTAGCCAACCGTGACCTCCCCCCGGAGGCCGGGGTCCACTGGCATGGAGAGAAGAGTTGGTGGTCAAACGTCGTCAAAATAGATAAACGGATTAAGCGTGGATTCCAAGCCGGAGATAACTCTGTAGCTTTGAGACGTTCTGTTGCAGAGCTTCTCGGGTCGGTTTATCCGGGGCACGTTCATCGCTTTACGGACGGATCGCGTTCGCGGGCTGGAGTTGGACTCGGAGTGGCAGGACCGAACACTGCAACGAGTCAAAGTCTACCGGAGGAGTGTTCCGTCTTTTCCGCTGAAGCCGCAGCTATTCTAGACGCATCCATCACTCCGGCACATCAACTGATCCTCGTGTTAACTGCGTCATCCAAGCGCTGGAAGCCGAAGCTCCGAGCCACCCCAGGATACAAGCCATTACACGGTACGCCCCACCTTCAACCGTCTTTACGTGGATTCCCGGATACTGCGGTGGTCTCGGAAAAGAGGCTGCGGACAGACTGGCGGGATCTGGTGCATCCCGTCCCCGCTACACCAGGAACGTACTCCTCATAGAATACTATTAGGCTTCCACTGGCAGCAGGAAAGGTTCCAGTCGCGGACCACTTTCCTGAGGAAGATCAAAGAAACCGTACGCTCCTGACTGGACAACCAAAAGTACCAGGACCAGCAGATCATCTCAAGACTCCAGAACGGCCATGCGAGGATTTCCTGTAATTTCGGTGGGACACCTTTCCGCAAGGTTTGTTCAATTTGCAGCATCCCCGCCTCGATAGAACACGTGCTGTGTGTCTGCCCTGAGTTCCAGAAGCTACGCGAACAACATGGACTCCCAGAGAACTTCAGTAATCTGCTTGATTACGACTCCTCGACGTTGAAGGCGCTGATCGCCTTTCTGAAGGGCGCCCACTTGTATGATTAAATCTAGCCCCCCCGTCGGTGGCTGCACTAATCGTGTTTTCCTCACCTTTCTATTTTTCTGCCGTCGGTGGGTTTCTCCGCCGGACCGGGCACTGTCTCCTACGGTGGAGCTCTGCCTTTTTCGCGCACCCAGTCCTCACTACAGCCCCGATCTAACCCTTACTTTACATTAAGTTTTTAAAATGTTGTCTGTCTCATTCGTTGGGAATCAGAGCCAGTTATACGTCACGTTAATGTCAAATTGAAACCTATTTTCTTTAGGCAGGATCTAGCCTGACTATCTGCTGAATAACGTGATGAACTAGCCTACGGCTAAAAATCACGGTAATAAAGAAAAAAACAAAATGATTCAGAACCTATTGTTCTGTTTGAACCACCATCTGCCAGTTGGAAAGTTGATCGCCATCATAAGCCGTTAGTTTTGAAAGTTGATATCCGTTCGAGCGACCATCCGTCATCGTATCCAGCAGCACGCATTGAGTACAATTTCGCACGGTGTGATTTTGATGCCGTCCTGTCCGTATGCTATGACAATATTTATCAAGTAATCCATGATACTTTTCCGGTAAAGACTCGTAGACCTTCTATGCATTTCGAACAACCGTGGTGGAATCCGCAAT